TTTTAATGTTGGCAAGAAACCAGGCTTCTGTACTTTCCCTTCGTCCACATCTGAATTATCATTATTACACATCATGCATGAAGTGCATCATCAAATTGGGGAAAATGAAGAGAAGAGAAGAGGTCAACACTCCAGATGTAACTTCTTTTCCCTTATCTTCATTCTGTATCTGTCTTCCAAAAACGCAAACATCGTAATAGCAAGCATTTACTGAGTTTTTACTACCTGGCAGGCACTGTTTTAAGTGGTTTTGCTATATTAATTTATTTGGTCCTCACAACAATCCTATGAAGTGGGTGGTATTATTATCCCCATTTTGTAGACGAGGAAACAGTCACAAGAGGTTAAGTAACTTGTCTAAAGTCACACAACTATTGAGCAGCAGAGCTGGAATCTGAATTCAGGGCGTCTGCTTCTGGAGCCAGAGCTCCTAACTACCAGGCTATAGTGATGCCATCCCTCCTACTTACAGCCATTTGGGGAGCTGTTCAGGGTTTCCTGTTGCCCTTAGGAGAAAGTCCAACTCCTTAACACTATCCTTTTATTCTTAATCTAGCCACAGCTTACATTTCCGGAATACCGCATTCCCCCGTGCATTCTCTCTCTCTCTCTCTCTCTTCCTCCCTCCTCTTCTTTTTCTATCCTTCTTGCTCTTCTCTCTTACTTTTTTTCCTTTTTTGGTGTTTCTGACTTGTCACACCAGCTCACTCAAGGCCTCTGCACAAACTTCTCTCTGCTGGGACGCTCTTACTCCCCCTGTCTGCCGCTTCTTTTCTTTCTCTTTCACGTCCGAGATGCTTTACCAGACTTTGCAGTCCTTCCCATTCGCTTCCTCTGCTTTGCCCCACTGAGCCCTGCGAGGACTGAAACTACCTGTTGTCGCATTGGTTCTTTAGTGACTAAACTGATTCAGGTGGTTCTTAGAAGTACTTGTTGACTGAATGACTATTTGCCAAACTGAGTACTAAGTGATGTTTATAATTTTCCCCCTGCGTGTATATACACATATACTCATTCTATGTGTGTTAAGTAAACAAATGATTTTGCTAATTGTGATATATGTATATTATGTATATGTATATTAACACATATATACATTTTTCTGTAGGATTTATTAACCTGTATCAGTAACAATGATCCTCCAGTATTTCTTAGTAGCTTTCAGATAGTAAAAAGCAATAACTTATGGCACTTAGATCTTCTGTCAGGATTTTAAAGTAAATTTAACATCTTCAGTCATACCTTCAAGAATTTCATATGACACATTTTCAAAATTATGATTTGAAATCACAGCTAAAGGAATAGAGCAGAAATACATTAGAGGAAAAAAACTTGTAAAATTTGCCAATATACTGTGTTGTGAAGGAACAGAAAAAAATTCAGAATCAAAAAGATATCTTCTTAGTGATCATGTAAAATGTTTCAATAACCAGAAAAAAACAATTTTTAGGATTTAGTATAGGTAAAAGCATATTATCTGTATGTAATTATTTGGAATTCACTGAACTATAAGGGGCTTTCTTCAGTAGGGCATTAAGGGAACTGACTGTCAAAAGTGGTGCGTATGAGAGGTACTAATATACTGTCACGCACTACATGTACATTCAGCAGTGAAGATGCTGATGTTTTCCAACATTCTGAAAATAGTTTTAATTATATTGGTGTTTCATTGACCCATATAGTTTAACTAGACCCCTGGGCCTTTCCGTTTTCACAGCTACAGACTGTCTTTGTCTCTAATGACCATTGCCGTATGCCTGATTATTTCATCAATTTTCCATATTATATTTGGCTCCGACACATGAGCATGCACTGATTAGACTCTTCAGCCTTGATAGAAGGCCTTCTTCCGTTAATTCCATCCATTTCAGCAATCATGCTGCCTATTCCCGCCACAGGCCCTTCACATTCATCCACCAAATTCAGGTTTCTAATCTCCAGTTCAAGGCCATTTTGTTTGCTAATGCGTATTCTTTACCTCCTTGGAAATCCGTCTCACAAAGCACCTCATTACTTGTGCTTTGGTTTATACTTTGTCAGTTTTATACTTATCTGTTGAATGAGTATTTGTTCTCAGTAGGATTACAGGCAAGGACAGGGTTTTCTAAGTCTGTTTCCTTCCAAAATACCTAGTTTAAATGTTAAGGCTCTAGGTTAAATTATGTCAGAAAATAGAAAATATACTATATTTAAGAACAAGTAGAAAAAATCATTCTATAAGCTCCCTTGGTAACACATTCGAATAAATAGCAAATTAAATTAGTGATTTTATCCTGAATCCATGGTGTTGCAGTAAATCTAAAAAAAAATCTTCTTCCCTGTGTAGTGATGGAGAATAACTGACTCATCACTGTCTTCAGTTAATAATCAGTTGCATTGATTGTCCCTTGTGCATGTGACAGCATGTGACTTTTCCTCTATGTAGTACCCATTTTTAAAAAAAGAGAATAAGTTTAATTATGTACATTTTAGACTGATTTTTCACACAAAGTCTGTAAGCATAGTATTAGTGCATTCAAATATGTCATTATGGGGAAAGAAGTTTTATGACTTTTTGTGCCTACATAATAGAGGAGAAATCTTACATATGTCCTATCTTCTCTTGCTCTGGTTTTTTGAAGGTGCCACATAAAAACTTGTATCTGATTCCAAATTTCAGTGGTTCACAACAAAGCAGAAATATGACAAGATTTAATAGGCTCCGTCTCCCATGATGCAGGACTGGGGTTTAACCGATTATCTTTCAATCTGTAGCTTTTGTGACGTGCAGTTCTCCAGTCCATTAGCAATACAGGAGGGCTAAGGGTTTAGTGAGTTGTGTGTATAAGCAGGAGCCGCCCATAATCCAAGTAGAGAAACCACATGTTTAAAGACCGTATGAGATAGTATGCTATGTGTAATAAGGATGCTAAATGTAAATTAGAATCCTGCTAGTCATTTTATAAAGCTGTTCTTTAGACAGTAAAAGCATCTTACTTGTTCAGACCGTTGTTTTATTTATTATTTTTTGGTTTAAAGTCCTCACTAGCTGATGTTGGTACTTTTGCCTAACAATTTTTCACGTTGTCATAGTGGATTTTTATGTGTATTTGTGTAAAATAACTATGCTGCAGTTACTGTGCATTACAGTGCATTTGATTGGGCTCTTAAATTTTATTTCTTTGAAGTGTATAATCTATGTTTATCTTTGTTAAAAAGTCCTCATGTGTGCAGTGATTTTTTTTGATGGCGTATGGTGTGACATTTTTTATTGTTTATTCATCTTGGTACTTGGTGGTTTAAGATCTAGAACATTGGTTCTTTAACTTAGATTTCTAATTTTTGATTGTCACACTTACAGCATACATGTGTGAGATTGTTTATGGGCACGTGGGCATAATCATTTAGAGCATGAAATTGAGAAGTAGCGAGTGTAGTGAGTGAGCTCAGCTACCTTTTGAAATAAGCTAAGATTGTCTGCTCTGAATGTGTGGTAATTTGGGAAGGCCCCAATTCCAGCACAATGACTTGTCTCGCTTTGCTGTAAATCAGAAAGCTCAAATACAATTGATTGTATTATACCTTGGCTGGAGAAAGACTGTTGCCAGAGGAGGGTTACACGTTATGGGACCCGGCTGAAAGGGGAATCTGAGAATATGAATTTTTCAGTGTTTACCCAGCACTGTCCCCAGAAGAAAGAGTGGCTGAACCCAGTAGTTATGAATAGCAGTCATTAGAGAAACATCTGCCTGGGGTTCATTTCTTTTCTTAATCCACTAGTTTTTTTTTCCCTACTATGCCATCAAAACAGCTTTCTCCAAGGTTGTTAATGACCTTGTGTTTAAACCCAGTAGATGCTTATATCCCGTCATCTATATATGCTCCATGCAGCATCAAACAGACACCTTTCTCCTTCCTCTTCCCCTAATGTTTCGCTCTCTTTCCTTCCAGATCTTTTTCTATACATTCAACACAAATTTAAAAACTGGTATTGTACAGTGTTTATCATTTTATATCCTGTTTAACGCATTGCATTTTCACATGAACTGTAATGGCCATTATATGGATATACCATAATCTTAAAACCGTAAAAGATTATAAATGAAATGCTCATTTTAGAAAACTTTCTGGCATAGTATAATATATTAAAATCATTTTCAAACCATACATAAGGAAGTGGAATAGTAGACCAAAGTCGTATGATTTCAACAGTTTACTTATAATTGAAAGACTCATGATGGGCAATATTGAATATTATTGGAATAAACAAGGAAAACGTGACCTTTGTCAAGTCATTGGACCGTCTGTCTCTCTGTTTTCTCATCTATGAAATAACAGGGCTGTGCTGTGTCTCGAAAGGCTCTTCCAGTGTAGTATTCTGTGGCTTTTGGATTAGTCCATGTTGAGAGGTCTGCATCAGCTTGTTCTCTGAACCGTACCACTTTGTTCTGTGACGGCTGTGATTATTATAGATTGTAGGGTATGTCCATATTAAAATTAATTGTAAAAGTGCTCTCTTCACTACTTTATTGTTTGTCATGTGGCATAGTTTTCCTTCTAGTGGATCTAAATGCCTATCGTATGAATTATCTAATTTCTGTATTTGTTTATATAGACTACAGAGCCTATAATAGGTACAGTAAATGGTTTTTATTTGCATTTGAAAGCATCTCACCCATAGTGATTAATGATTATGAAGCTGTATTTTAAAATGTGAATATGGAGACAGAAGAATACAAAGTTGTGATAAAATTCATGTGTAAGTAACAATATATTCAATTAAAAATACTGCCTATAATGGTCTGATGTCAAATTGAAATTTCACATCTTTTTTCCATTGAATTCAGCAGCTTGTGATACTTGATCCTTATTATGCCTTATGTGAATTCAGAGTCATTTATTTTAGGGAAAATTGTATGTTATTAAGGAAGTTGAAAAAATTGTTCCACTAGTGCATCCATTAGTTAAGAATCAAGTCACACATTTTATTTGCTTAAACCCATCTGTACTTGTTTTACCAGTAACATATTTGGTCTGCGGCCTGTGGATTATGCAGACAGTGAAAATATGAAGTCGCTGTTGCTGCTACCAGAGAAGAATGAATCATCATCAACTAGCCGTTACTCGGTAGTAAGTATGGGTTTAGCTTTGGGAAATTTATGTCTTTTATTGAAATTGGTTATGAAAGGAACATAATGGAAAAATTTCCAGTTAGCAAATTGCTTTCATTCACCAAACAATTATTGAGCACTTCCTGTGTATTAGCTATTGTGAATTCAAAGACATAATCAGAATAAATCTATCAACAAATATTTATTGACCCTGCTCCATATCTTAGGCAGCGTTTATACTGCAATAAATATGACTGATAGAACTCTTATTCTCAAGGAGCTTACATTCTAGTGAGAGAAAGGAGAGAGACAGACTGTCAATATGTAAACTAACAGAAATAAAAAATTTCAGGAACTTATAAATGAGTGCTCTGAAGAGGGTTTGGTAGAGTGTAATTGAGCGCAGGTTGTGGGCTCCAGTAAAAGCACTGCTGTAGTGAGGGTCCTTGAGGAGAGACCTAAAGAACTGATATTTGATTTGAAACCTGAATGATGAGGAGGAGGCGTCCAGGGGAATATCTGGAGGACAAGTGTTTCAGGCAGAGGGAGCAGCAAGGGTGTTGGCCCCTCAGTGGATGAGCTCAGTGTGTTTGAAGGTTAGAGAGAAGGTCATCATTGCTGGTGACTAGTGAGTGTTGAAGAGTAATGGGAAAGCATCAAAAGGATTTAAAGCAAGGGAATGAAAGGATATGATTTATGCTTTAGGAAGTTCATTCTGGCTACTTGTAGTAAAGAGACTGTGCGGTCGGGGCAAGAGTGGAAGCAAAGAGATCGCTTGGGACTGTCTCATTGTCACAGGACAGAGATACCGTGATGACCTGGATTAAGGTAATAGTGGAGATTATGAGAAGTAATGTGGTTTAGTATATGTTTTTGAGCTAGTGCCAACAGAACTTTCTGATGGATTATATATGAAGTGTGGAGACAGAATAGAGTTAGTATGACTTTAGCAGTGGAGGAGATGGTGGTGCCATTTGCTGCCATGGGGAAGGAAACCAGTAGTTCTCTTTGCCGGTGTTATGTCTATAAGGCACCGAATGGAGATGTTGAACAGGCAGTGGGATAGGTGAGTCTGTAGCTGAGGAGAGAGGTACACGCTAGAGATAAAGTGCAAAGAATGCCTATTCCTTAGAAACCTAGAGTTTGTAAAAATTTATTACACACTGTCATAAATTTATAATAGAAGCCCTAAAAATGTACAGTAGAATGATAGAGAAGGAAGAAGCTGACTTCCAGAGGGACCAGAAGAGCCTCACAGAGAAGGTGACAAAGAAGGTGTCTAAACCTTTAAAGGTAAAAGTTTATCAGAGTATCTAGGAGAATGCTATTGGCTGCAAATGACAGAAATTTTTTACGCAAACGCTTAAAGACAGTGTACTATGTTATATAAAGATAATCCCAATGTAGGATAACTCTCCATTTGCTTAGTTCAAAGTCTGAGTTTCTACGTGGCCGTCTGCAGCTTGTGGCTCTGTCCTCAGTAATCTCCCCTCTACTGGTTATACGATGATTGCCACAGTTACAGATGTGACAGTGTCCAGCATCACAAGAAGGACGAACACCTTTCCCAGAAGCCTTCCAGTGGACTTCCTCTTGTGTCGTATTGGTCAGAACTGGTCGCACAATTGGTTTGGACATAACCTTTGGTTGAAGACAGGGTCAGTCCTTAAAGAGTGGATATCTGGACAAAAGTGGATTCTGTTCGCGTGGGGGAAGTGAGGAATGGATTTTCAGTGGACAACCAACATTGCCCACTGCAGTCAGGTTTACCAAGTGGCCATGGCAGTCCAAATCCCAGCAACAGCTGCTCAGAGACAAGCGTACAGGACCTTAGTAATTTGAGAAACTAAAGTTCGGTGTGAGAAGAGCGTAAGGCGTGTTAGAGAGGAACTGAAGGTAAGAGCTAGGTTGGGATCAGGTTGCGAAAGGCCTTGAATGTCCTGGGGAGAAGGTTAGACTTTATTTCCCTAGTTAACGGGGCACCCCGTATGTTTTTAAATGGAATGGGACTGTGTAGAGGATAGCTGGGACTGGGACAAGACTGAAGACGGGCCAGGAGGCTGTTGTAGTCGAGTCCAGGTGTGAAATGGTGAAGACTGAAGCTACAGGTGGTGGTAGTGAGAGGGATGGTGGATTCACTGTATCTTAGAAATTGCTCAGAGGGGGAAAATAAGAGCAAGGGGTGAGTTGAGGTCTAGGACCATTCAGAGAAGATTTCTTGTCTTGTAAGAGCAGTGGAGTAGTGACTGATGCCATGGTTTAAGATACGGAGGCCACCTAAGGTGTTGACAGCTTGATGTGGGCATAGATGTTGTCACAGGTAGTCACCTTTATGCTTTGAAAACTCTACGTCCTGCTCTAGACTTCAGCCCGGTACGTGTGCCCCAGGCTCCAGTTTTGGTAGTGGACTGGAAAAGAACCTAGAAATCAGCAGTTTAGTTTCCTCATTTTACAAATGAGAAAGCTTAGACCTAGTGTGATTTGCCCAGGGTTAACCAGCCTAAAAAAATTTTTTTTTTTCAATGGATCAGTTAGAACTCATTTTTCTTTAATCTTCCGTCCCACCATACTTAACAACTGTAACTTGCCACTTATTTTATTCATTTAGACTTGAACTCTCCCGGCAGAACATAGCCTAAGTAAGTTGTCATTTGCCAGTGTTCCTTTTATGTAAAAACTGGAGAGGATTATTTTAAATGTGTCAAAAATAAAGATATCTTTATGGTGTTCTTGGAGTGTGGGGATGGCAAAGCCTTCAGAGAAGAAAGTGATTATTCTTCTCTCAATTCAACTATCCAATTACTATTGCTTTTTATTAAATGTAAGAAACCTATACTTGCTGCATGTCACGTGGACATGGCCTGTGAGTATCATTATTTACTATTTTTTTGCATGAGGAAGATTTGCCCGGAGCTAACATTTGTGCCCATCTTCCTCTATTTTGTATGTGGGTTGCCACCAAAGCATGGCTGACAAGTGGTGTAAGTCTGCGCCCGGGATCCGAACCCGCAAACCTGGGCTGCTGAAGTGGAGTATGCGAACTTAACCGCTACACCATGGTGCCAGCCCCTGTTTACTATCTTAATAGTAGATAATTGGCTAAGGGAAAGATAATGAATGATAATTGCTAAGTGGAAAGGGTCCTTTCTTTATGCGTAGATCTTAAGATCTAAGCTCTGGGATCTGCCTTTCCTGAGCCACTAGCAGACTCCGTTTCACTCATTCTTGTTCAGCCTGGTGGGCTGCCTTGCTGTGTCTTGAAGCCCCCAAACATGCTCCCCTTTCAAGTCCTAAGCACTAGCTGTTTTCTCTGCCAGGAGCAAATGGGGGAGCCAGATGTACATGTGGCGAGCTTCCTCACTCCCTGCAGATGCGACTCCAGTGTAGCCTATCAGAGAGGTCTCTGCACTACTGCACTGCTCTGCACTCTGTACTCCCCTGCTTTAGTGTAGCATACCACTTTTCATCTGACCTAATACTTGGTTGTTTTGATTGGTTTTCTTCCTCTCAACTAGAATGTAAGCCCTGTGAGGGCAGGGACCCCCCTCTCTTGTTTACTGTGGTAGACCCAGCAGTGAGAACAGTGTCTGGCAAACAGTAGGTGCTCAGTAAGTGTGTGTTGAATCCGTGAGTGAGGCTGGGGGTCCCTTCCTGGTACCTGCTTGCCCCTGAAACGAGCACAGGTGCTTGGTGGCTGAGTCTGAACTCCTTCCGCTCAGTGGTTTCCAGGCTCTCCTGGGAGCTGCTGCGGGGAGAGCATCATGCAGAGGGGAAGGGGTGCTGAGTGGGCGGGGTTTGAATTCCTCTACTTCCCGGTTGGAATTTTGTTTTTCTCAAGTAAAGATTTATGGTTGTTGGAAGGCGCTGCTGTAAATTTGAGAAGCAGTCTCTGAGCTGAAAGACGGAAAGAGCTGCTTGCCATGCTCATTGTGTGACTTTGAGTCCATGGGCCCTTTGAGCAGCATGTTTATCCTTTCCGTAATTTTTTAAATACTAATTTTGATAAACTCAGAGTAACTAATTTATCTATGAAAAAGTTCCAGATCGAATTATTCCTTAAGTAAGAGTTTGTTTAATGCCAGTGTACATAGTAGCTGATCTCTATAAAATCAGGGTGTTGAACCCTTGGGGTGTTTTCTGAACGTCTTTGGAAACTTATGGTTCTGAGGCCACTGCTTATTCACATTAAATGCCCCCCCTTCCCGCCCCAAATCAGACGTGGCGCGTCGGCAGCTGTTTGCTTTATGTTTTTTTTATAGCGTTCCTCAACTATGAGAAATTAGTGCCAGTTTCTATTTTTTATTCAAATTTAAAAAGTGATAGGAAAATGCTTGACCCACTTTGGTGTTTTTCTTGGGTTAGTGCAAATAGTATCACATGCTATATTTAGAAATGATATCTTTTCATCATTTTGTGCAGAGAATTAATTTAGCTGAAGTGGAGTTACATAAATTGAAAAGTTATGTGTTCCATCTAGAGCTGTTTTTATGGCACTTATTTGTATAACTGATAACAATGTCTAAAATGCTATCTTTTAATATTATCCTGCTGTAGTAATTGAGCGATCCATAAAGTACACTGAACTGTTTTCGTGTTATGGAGTGTTCACAGTGTTTGGGTTGGACATGGTTACATCAGTTATAATTTAGTGACTAGGAAAGACACACAGACAGAAGTGCGATGTGATGTAAATATGTGTGTGGCGTACATAGCGTGACCAGTAAAACCTTTGCAGCCTGAACCTTAGAGGAATAAGTAATTCAGGAAGCTGAACTTGTAAGTAATGAATATTGCCATGTAAAAACCTTTTTATAAAAATATTTTTTAAAAATGTATGCATACTAGCTTATTAATACATAGTAGAATCTCATTTAGTATACTTTGAGTGAATGACTACTGAGCTCAGTCTGTTTATAGATGTAGCCAACAGTTTACATGTAATATTGCAAGGCACCAGACCGGCTAAATTAAATTATCTCTACTCTGATAATGTGAAGTGAATATTTAAATACCAATCTTCCCGAATCTAGTTGCTAAACTATATTGGTGATTATACCTTCAGTGTTTCACTCATGTGCTTCAGCACTTTTGAGAGCCCATGTGTCCATACACATACACACACGTGTAGGAGGGCCCTGTGTCTTGTATTTGAAAATTAAAGTATTGTGTCTGGCTTTTTATCTTTCAGTACAGTCGTGCTGATTTACCTCCTCTTTCTTCTCTGCTGGGTCGCTGCTTCTCTTTTATCAGGCGGCTTTTGGCTAACCCTTATTCCCATTCCATTTATTGAATTTCTGTTGACTGCTGTTGAAAACACTGCCCCATTGTTCCTTTGAATCTTTCCCTTCCGGTCTCTGATACTTTCCATTGCTACCTTCTCTTTGTTTTTGTCTTTTTTGTCTCCTCTACGTTCCAAGTCTTTCTATTAAAGTGAAAATATGTTAGTCTTGGTTAGTCAGAGCACTGCTCTCCTTTTCATGGGCTGCATTGTTGGTGGGTCTGATTTTACTCTGATATTCTCTTGTCTGTTTTCATTTTCTTGGTTCTGAGAGGGAACTGTTTCGATGTTAAAAATGTGTTTTCTATCTTTGAGATCAGTGCTGTTCTAGAAGCCTTAGTGTTCTTTGATGTTTTCATAGAATCTCAGTTTAAACCAAACAGACCAAGTCGAGTTTAACTGTATTGGAATAGTTTACTGGTGACAGAATTAAGTTGTAAAACCCTAGAGAGACTCAGTTTAGAATCAAGGAAGCCAGATGCCCTGGGTATAGAGAGCTATCCCAAGTAGCATTTTATTGGGGGGAAAAGAAAGAAATAGAAAAATAATTATTCAAATGCATTAAGCAATAAGGTTCTGAGTGACGATTCGATGGAGATTATTGAGAATTACTAGATAGAATAAGCTAAGTAAAGAAATTCAAGCTTCTATCAAGTGAAGGCCAGTTTAATTATCTTTTTTTCTAGTCTTGAAATGTTTCTAACACTGTGGCATCTCCTTTTTCATTAACAGATGAACACTGGTCAGCGCAGAGATGGACCTCGTGTACTTATAGGCAGTGGGCTTTCTTCAGAACAACAGAAAATGCTTAGTGAGCTTGCAGTAATTCTTAAGGCTAAAAAATGTGCTGAGTTTGACAGTACAGGTGAGGATTTTTATTTATTTATTTTTGATAGAAAAATTTTAGAGTACGTAATCCCTTTGTAGAACTCCCTTTGATAATTTATACGTTTTAACCATTAGCATATAATTATATATTGTAATAAGTCTAAAATGTTTTTACAGTTATAAACTACTTTGAGGCTTAATTTAGTTAGGAAATGTAAAGTTTAAAGCTTTGCACGTATTTTAGGACAGAACAATATGTCAGAAGAGCAATTTTATGAGTTTGCTAATGACAAATAAATTGTAGTGCAATGTAATGCTTTAATTCCCTAGTTATAATTTGAAAATAAAAGGAAAATATGTATTTGCTACTGTGGCTTTAAGATATATAGTTTATGATCTGACTTTTTATGTTGGTGGTCAGGTTGAGAATGATACTAAATAAAAGAATTCTTATACCTAAGTATAAAAATTGTTGCTTTTGAAGAAAATTCGTATATAAGTTTATAAAATGTAGACTAACTGTTTATAAAAAGCAGACTAGTTAAAAAATTATTTTGGTTTATATCTCTATTTCTCTTACTTCTTTGTTTGTATTCTAGTAACTCATGTCGTTGTTCCTGGTGATACAATTCAAAGTACCCTGAAATATATGCTTGGGATTCTCAATGGATGCTGGATCCTAAAATTTGAGTGTAAGTGTTGGATTTGAGAGAATTACAAAATGAATTAAGTGGACTAATTTCATTTTTCGTAGTGCACTACTGCCAATAATTATTAAGGAAGTTATGCTAATTTTCTTACCTCTGGTTAGTCACTGCATTTTGAAAAAGCTTCTCATGTTAATGGTATCATTTAGATGTTCTTAGTAAATGTCCACAGTATGTTCTGGTTTTAAAATATTTTTTCTACAATACCATGTATTTTAATAAAAAGTAAATGGATTATATAGTAGGCTTTTAAGCTTAAGCAATCCATATTACTTTTATGATATATTTAACTTAATAAATGCATGTTTTAAATATACCACTGTGAAATGAAAGTAGTTAATTGCTTTCTCTTTATGATGTCTAAAAACTTACCTGTATGACACCCGTTTGGTTTCTTTGCTAATCCAGTATATTTTAGGAAGCTGTTGGGAAATTGAGACTGCCTCGTATTACCTGATTTGGGGTAATTACTCCAGCTATTATTGAAACCTCCGCTGAAGATGTGTCCCCATCACCCTCTTCCTCTCAATAGTCAGCCACCACCACCTTCAGAGCTGCCTCTCCCCCTCCCAACTCCCACCCGTTTGCTTTTCTTAACCTTAGATTCACCTAGGACTTAAAGCAAAATAAAAAGAAATCATACAGGGTTATTTTCTACTCCTCAATAACTAAAGTATCTACTTTTGATATGATGCTAAAATAGGACAGTAAACTAACCTTGTTTGGTAACTAATAGTTTTTAGAAAGGAAGAGTGCCTGTAAACACAGGGAGTCTTGTGAGGATACAAGTGAATAACTTGATCGTAGTGGTGGTTACATTACACAGTGCTACATACGTGATTAAATTTTATAGACCTACACACACACACACACACACACACACACACACACACACACACACACACACAAATGAGTGCGTGTATAACTAGTGAAATCTAAATAAGCTCTGTGATTGTATCACTGTCACGTTCTTGGTTTTGATATTGTGCTCTGGTTGTGTGAGATGTTAACCCTGGGCACTGGAGGAAGGGCGCATGGGACTTCCGTGTACATTTCTATGCAAGCTCCTGTGAATCAATAATTATTTCATATTAAAAAGTTAAAGAAAAAAATAGTATTTTTAATCAAACTTTCCTTTTTAAGAAGCAAATGATGGGTCTGAGTTAGTTTTAAAACACTATTTCATGGCTTTCTGCTTTGAAAGTTTTATGGTAGAAATGCTTGATTTATCAAGACCTTAGTTATGTTATTAGTTTGATCTGTAGTTTGATGTTAATTTGGTTTGTAAAACAGCTTCCTTTTAGCAGTTGATATTCACGTCCTGTGGAAATGCAGCTGCCCCTTTCCTTGTGATGCTTGTCTTCCCTGATGCGGCCTCATCCAGCTAAGTGGCTGTGACTGGCGAGGCCGCTCCATCTGTCCTCATCAGTCTCTGTCATTGGTCTCTGCCAGTCATGACTGGTTTAAGAAGTATGATGAGTAATTGGACTGATTGGCCATTTACATAGGAAAAAAACATTTCTCTTTGTGTCTCACTCATTTTTGAACCTTCTTTTTCCTTTCAAATCTGTGGCAAGTTTAATTGGGCCTCAGTGTTCAAAAAATTGATTTGAAAATGGTTACATGAGCAGAGATGCTTTTGTACTGAACTTGTGCCAAAAACCAAAAACTTGTGGTTATAGGAAGGAATAGATTTTCTTTTTTTTTTTTTAAAGTTATATAGTATTTTACGTTTATTTATTTATTTTAATTTTTTGTTTATTGCAGTAACATTGGTTTATAACATTGTATAAATTTCAGGTGTACATCATTATACTTCTATTTCTGCATAGATTACATCATGTTCACCACCCAAATACTAATTACAACCCATCACCACACACATGTGCCGAATTATCCCTTTCGCCCTCCTTTCTCCCCCCTTCCCCTCTGGTAACCACCAATCCAATCTCTGTCTCTATGTGTTTGTTTGTTGTTGTTATTATCTACTACTTAATGAGGGAAATCATACGGTATTTGACCTTCTCCCTCTGACTTATTTCACTTTGCATTATACCCTCAATGTCCATCCATGTTGTCACAAATGGCTGGATTTCATCGTTTCTTATGGCTGAGTAGTATTCCATTGTGTATATATACCACAGCTTCTTTATCCATTCGTCCCATGATGGGCACTTAGGTTGCTTCCAAGTCTTGGCTATCGTGAATAACGCTGCAATGAACACAGGGGTGCATGTACCTTTACAAATTGGTGTTTTCAAGTTCTTTGGATAAATACCCAGCAGTGAAATAGCTTTTCATAATAATAAGTTCACAGTAATAAAGAAGCCATGTGAAATTTTGAATGTTAAGGCATTTACCACTTAGGTCTAGTTCTTGTGAATATGCTGAACTTGCATCTGGTTACATATAGAGACTACATGATTTATTTCCATAAAATCTGCCTTCTTTCAGAAATGGAAGTTTTGTCACTTTAATGCCTTGGCCATGTCATTTTTATAGAATCACTGATGGATTTAAGCTGACTTAATAGTGTGCTGTTTGGTGATTCTCACAGTAGTGAACAACATACTCTAATATCAGTGGTTCTTCTAGGATAAAAGATGGATGGGATCTCTTATTGAAGTTCATATCCTCATATTTTCTAATACAAGGTCCAAAGAGAAATAGGTTCAGGGTTTGAGACAATTTAAAGTCACTGGGTTTATAAAAAGAACGCAAGAACTCTCAAATACCTTCTTTCCTAATATATATTTCTCACAGTTTCTATATTATTCTTAGTGTCAGGCAACTCAGTTTTATTTTAACAAGTGTTCAGAGCTATTCAAAAGTAGTTGAAAACCATCTATATTAAGGAAAGATGGGGTGGACCAAAGCTTTCAAAATTAATTGTAAAGATTTATGACTTAGTAAAACTAGATCTTGTATTTGAGGGTATCTTTTAGCTTGCTGGTAGACAAAACCTTTACTGGCTTAACTATATAGAAACTTTAATATTAACTTTTTATAGTGTTTTCTATAAATCAAGTATATTTAAGAGAAAATTTTATCTAAACTTTCTCTGTAGATAATTGACTCATTTAACAAATTAAACAAATTTAAACAAATTAAAAAAAGAATTATACAAAACAATTTAGATCCATTGGGTCCAAATTTAACCATTGGACGTTTTGTGTTTAAAATGTTTTGTCTCAATTGGTTGATATGTCATATTTGCCTACGTTATATATGTAGAGTATCTTACCATGTTACTCTTAATGAACTTAGTGTGAACATTCTGAGACTAGGCCATAATTATACTATTGTACCAGCCATTCTGGCTCATCGTATTTATTTTACAGAATGGTATTTATCTGTATTTTATAGAAATGGGCGCTATAGATAGAAAAAGCTTCTTCTTCAGGATTAAATTTGTGGCTGAGATTCTGCTTTAGTCCTAGTTTTGGTGCTGATTCCTCACAGACAGCTGGTAATCATCCCCATACAGGGTGAATTTTGGTAATTAAAGAGGCGATTGGAATGAAAGAAGAGGCGGTTCTCTGGTGTGATGGTGAGCACTCTGCACTCTGAATCCAGAATGAAAGATAGAAGATGTACAAATAAGTCATTTCCTTCATCTCTTAGAGTATGAATAAGGTGAACTGCGTCCTACAGGTGTAGACTCGCCTTCAGAAAGATAAAATATCTTTTATTGACCTGTTCTTTTAGTACACTGCTTTCAAAATTTCCTCTAGCCTGACCTTTTTCAAAAATTTTAATTCTGCCTCTTCGCTTCTCATCTCATTGTGAAAGGGAGAGCAGATGGCTGTCATCTTGTCTGTGATCATCTCTCCCTCTTCCCCTCGCTCTCCTAAGTTTAATTAAAGTTGCTGGCCTGGACGTTCTGAAAGTCCTCGGCACCTGAGGGAATTGCTGTGGGCTTGTGCCTATGAGGCGAGGAAGGGCCAGATAGGGTGTTTTTTCGTTTTTGTTTTAGATGAGGAGGATGGAACCTGAAAGACAGTTATTACATCAACATGTTATATGTAACTTCATAACCAGATTAACAAACTTATTCTTTTCTGTTAAAATTTGTTTCTTCAAATGGGTATTGAGAGTGCTGTGAAATTTTACAAATAAATATAATTTTTATTCTATTTAAACTTTGCTAATTATCAAAAAAGATACATTAAACTATTTCTATCAACTAAGATTTATTAAGCAACTTCATGCTTATACAAACCCTTTACCAAAAATTCACGAAGAATAAAAAAAATGAACATCCTTTGATCTAATAGTCCCACTTCTGAGAATTTATCCTAAGCAAGTAATATAGATGAAAGAAAAACTATTTGCATTGTTATTTCTAATAGCAAGAAGTAGGAGGAATAACCTAAATATGAGAGAATTAAGAAAATTCTGGAATGCTTAAAGATATTCTCTAAAAGATTCATATTTTTATATGATAATTATTGACTAAAGTATTATGAAAAAACAAGATTGTTTAAATTTTTAAAAAGCATAAAACAATTATATCTTTACTTTCAACAATATATAAATGTGTGATGCATACAGACAAAGAAACAACCAAAAGAAATTAGTGGTAAGAGGATCAATTGTATGATGATGGATGGTAACTAGACTTACACTGGTGATGTGTATACAAATATCAAATTATAATGATATACACCTGAAATATATATAATATTGTATACCAGTTTTACCACAATTAAAAAAAATAGTGGTGGATTGGTAGGTCCTGTTCATTCAGAACAGTCTTAAAAGCAGTGTGTGTCTGTTAAATGAAATTCACGTTCTCTAGGAAGAAATTCAACTTCTCAAAAGTTCTAATAAGAGTTAGAATGTATATCTTCCTTTTAGTCTTTTTCAAAGATTAATTGGATAGGTAAGGGCTTCGGTCTTAAACAGGGAAATTAGAACTTGTGTGCATATATTTCTCTGATCTGATACACCAGATCTCTTATATCTGTTATTCAGACCTCACA